CCCCCCCCCCCCCCCCCCCCCCCCCCCCCCCCCCCCCCCCCCCCCCCCCCCCCCCCTTAAAAAAATCCTACGTACGCCCCTGGTAACCAGGTCTAACTGATAATCAGTTTCTTCCTTTGTCTAATAGTAAATTACTGTATTAACAAAATATGGTAACGTAATAGAATCTCTTAATAGTTTTGTTGAAATAGCGCCACCTTCGTGTCCAAATTTAAACCATGAAATTGATGTCAAACAACAATCATCGTCTCTACGTTATTGCTGTCATTTTCTATTAGCACTCGTTCAGAAATGTACAGAACAAAAGAGAAATCATTTACGAACAAGAAAATAATTATAATCACATAACATTCAGAGTGGAGGAGAATAAAAACTTTTACTTTAAAAACTATCGAGGTAACTCATTGTTTGCTCTCCTCCATGCAGACACATCATGGTTGGCGAACCCAGTCAACATGATGCTGGTGGCAGCCGCTGGTTTCTTCATCACCGTGGTTGCTATGGTAACGGTGAAAAAGTTGAGATCACGTACTAAAGCCTCCAAAGGATACAGCCGTCTACAGACTGAGGGTGAAATCGAAGCTTAGAACGAGGAGAAGAAAGAAGAACGTGGAGAAGGGGGAGGAGGAGATGAAAGAAGAAAAAGAGAGGAGATGATGAATGATGATAAAGATGAAGAAGAAGACGAATGAGACATAAAGTTTGTGACGACACAAGCTTTTCTGGTCATTTATTCAATATCTCGCAAATGGCATATATCTCGAATATATCATGCATATCATTATAGAGTAATATGGAATTTATAATTCGTTTGTTGAAAGAAATATATGATCATGATTATATACATAATTATTTCGAAAATAAAAAAGAGACGTTCGTTTTCAGTTAACCTCTAGCTTTTTATAAAGACAACTTGTATGAGTACGTCGATGATAGTGACACTTCTGGCTATGAAATTATTACAAACGATTGTTAATGCTTAAGTTGATACACCTCCTGCAAGAAGGTGGAAACTTATAACTGAAAATTAAACTCGGTAAAATGTGTTGATGTTTATACTGTTCTCTAATGCGCTCCAGATGAAGTTCAAGAAAAAGCCGATCGAGCAATATATTTTTTGCATTTATTGTAGGCCTACTTCTCATTTTTGATTTATTCTAATTTTTGGTATACTGTACAGTAATGTATTAAAATGATTTTGAATCTCTTTATCCTATCCTACCACTATGTATCCCTTCTTCTTTCCCATACTTTTCCCCATATTCTCTCTCTCTCTCTCTCTCTCGTTCTCTGTCTTTCTCTAGCTACTTCTTATTCCCTCGCTCTCTACTACCATCTTTCTCACCACTTTTTGACACCGTTTTACTGCATCTATACGTTTTTTTCTAGTCGCTGATGAAAAAAAGTTCTATGCCATGTTTATTTTCCTTTTCATTGCTCCATTTGGTAGGATGCTTCCATTGCAATTATCAGTCTGCTATTGAATTGTGCTAGGTAAGAGCGACTGCAATATCGACGTTGAATAAAAAACAATTGTTATTATCCATATAGGCCTACATATTAAATATGACATTAAATTTCTTTCAAAGAAAGCGATGTATGAAATATTAATTTTTTTCTTCTAAATTTTGTAATCTGTTTTCGCCTTTTGTAATCGTTTCATCATTATGTGAAAAATATTTCACTGGAAAATAAATTCTATCCGAATTGATGATTAAAGAGACGTCGTTCAATGTGTGTATGTGAGAATGATTGTTTAAAAGCTGTGTCACTTAGACTCCTTATTTATTTCCTAAGAACAAAAAAAAAAAAAAAAAACAATTAAAGAACAAAAAATAACTTTCAAGCAAGATTATTGCTCATGGTTATAGTTTCTCTATTTAATTTCATTTATTTTCTTCTGAATACCATATAAATATAAACAATTATTGGTACCTTAACCAACATCAAATTCTAAGAAATACTCTCTGACAAGCAATCATAGATAAAATTATTATAGAAAAAATGAAAAGAAGATAAAATATCGAATTATCATATTTCATAAAACTTTATGAATAAGGCCTTAAAAAAAGATGTTGTATTGCCCTTTGCGACCTACCCAAAAATGTTGAAATCTACGGTCGGCTTTTTTTAAAACCGTGTTTTAGTAAAAACAAAAATGTATCAAAGCATTATAAACTAAGAAATATCAGCCCAAACAGGGAGTTTAAAAAAAAAGTTTTAAAAAAAAAAAAAATACGACCGACCGACCCATATTTTAACACCTAAAGGGCAATACAACATCTTTTTTTTTTTGTAGGCCTTATTTGAGAAAGAAAGACTGCCATTGTAAGCAAATTGCTTGGAAATATGACAGCCCGAAACAAATTGTATTGATTAGTTGAACATATATTTATTGAGCAGAATGGAAAATATTGTGATGATGTTGATGATGATGATGATGGTGATGATGATGATGATGTCCTTTAATACAGCCTAAACGGGTCTCTGTTCTCTTTATATTAAAAAACATGAGAATAGAGACAAAGGGCAGAAGTATAACCAAACCAATGGAGAATCGTCGTATTTTAATATGAGCTTTTGCAATGATTGACAGAGAATATTAAAATGAATACTGCATCATGCTGCATAATTATAAAAGGCTCCTTTCTGTTACTAAAATAGGAATAGGAATAGGAATATAAACTATTATAAAAGATTCAATAAAATGCTTTCCCAGTTTATTTAAGACATGTATTCAAGTGAAAATTCAAAGAATTGGGAATAAACAACAACTATTATTTTGATTTGGAAACAGAAATTGCGTAAACTAAACCTCATTAATAAAACTTGGTCATTCACCTTCAAAAAGTAGAATATTCCCGAAATGAATACTAATGAGACAAATGAATAAACATTAGGAAGAATATATCCACGATTAAAGAAAGTATTCCGGGGTGACTACATCACAAGCAAATGTAGAACAGCACGAAATGAGACATAAAACCCTAAATGTATTTCCTTCAAATGATAAAGAATGTGTCAAATTCTTAGAAGCTGTTTCAAAGGGAAGGGGCTCTTTTATGATTTAGAATTGTTCAATATTAG